CCCCCCCCCCCCCCCCCCCCAGCTCCGCGCAACAAGCAGCGGTATGATGAGACAGGTGAAAGCAAATGAAGAACGAGGGCTGCAAATCGACAGATATAGCGGTGTCAGTAAAGAGAGCAGTCAAGAGAAAGAGGAATGTTTCCCTTCTGCTGGGTTTCTGCTGGCATTGGTCTCACCTTGCAATTTTATCAATGATGTTTGGCTCTTGACTGAGTCTCTGGAAGAGAGATCGCTGCTCCAAAGTTGTCAGAGTGGAGAGAAGAGGCGAAAAATTAATCTTTCGGATTCCCAGCACGTGAATGTACGCATGTTGGGGTCCGGTTTGGTCTGTACCCCGCAACTCAAACATGATACTTAGGTGGAGGTGTTGTTTCACATTTGGGCTGGCGGCGAAGTGCTAAGAGGCCAGCCATCTGCAAAGCAGGGGAGGCCCAGGGGCGTCGCGTCCGCGGCCCTGCCCCCAGCAAAAGCAGCAGCAGCAGCAACAGAAGCGGCAGCAGCAGCAGTAACCTCACCGTGTCTGTCAGAGGTGAAGGTAGAGGCGTTTGGGCCTGCCTCAGTTGTGAGGACTCCGCTGATGAGGAGTCTGTCTCCTGCTGTTGCCTCGTCAACGAGAAAGCGAGAAGCATTCAGTAGCAAGTGACGCGGCATATCCCCCGTGGGCACCTGCATGCATTGCAACCCAGCAAGGCTCTAGCCCCAAAAGCCCCTCATCTAGCGAACGTCACTGACGAGCGAATCCCTGATAGCGAGACTTCTGTCTAAGGCATATGCTGGCAGCTACAGCCGAAGAAACAACTCTCTTACGTCTTCCGGAAGCTCTTGCATCTTCAAGAGCTGAATATCCACGAAGGTGCATTCGTTGCTGACGATGAAGTACGGCTCCTGGGCCGCAACAAACAAAACCAGAACACCCCTGCACGCTTACCTCCTCGCTACGGCGCCATGTGGCTGTCCTGCGCCCTAGATTAATGCAATACTGCATTACCGCTACGCCGCCCTATTGGGATGCAGGCATATCAAATAACTACGGCCGTCCTAGTTTATGTACACTGATGCATTTGCTGCTGTGTGCTGCTGCTCCATCGGTGTCTTTGTCATTCAGCACGCTGCGACTACTGTTACATGCGGCGAACAGCAAATTGGTGTTTCCTCAGTTGGCTGTCACACCCAAGGGCTGGTTTCAAAGAAAAGCGGCAGACAGTGCAGCATCCCAAGCGAATATGTAATTCAGAACCTTTGGCAATTGATACGTACTTATTTTCAATACATATGTATGTATATATACGTATGTATATCAATATATATGTAGCGCGGTGTCTCACCGGTTTGTTTTTGCAGCCCAAGTCCGACTCGCCTTGGTTAGGACCTGACAGCTCTGAAAAGCGGCAAAAACGAGGGATTTGAGGCTGCTCTCGCCATTCCGCTGCATGAATGACCAACTTGTGGTTGCAGAAGCGGCACTGAATTGTTATTTTCTGCCAAATACACGCAAGCAGGCGCGGGCGTAGGCAGCGGTTTGCGCACGAGCAGAAACCCGAACCCTAAACAATCGGTACCCGTAAGATCTTCAGCCGAATAAAAGCTGTATGCATCTGCGAAACTAAGCACGTCTTTGGTTTGCTGAGCATGAATATCAACAGAGGTATCTGGAGAACGCGCTCCGACGCATTCTGAGGCAAGAGGAGCATTTCTTACTTGCATGCGGCTCATTGGCGCCTTGCAGCTGATGATAATGCCCGTCGTGACGACGAAGTGCTCTTGCTGATGGGAAAGCAGGCTACGGATCGGGGTGGGCTTTTTGCTGGAGTCGATGAGGTTGATTTGAACATCAAAGGTGCGTTCTCTTTTGCTTGGTGGCCCATCTGATGCTCCCTGAACTATAGCGCCTTTTGCGGCTATCTCCTCGCATGCCTTCTCACAAACGGGCAAGTACACAAGCGGCCGCTCCCGCAGGCAACGCGCCAATCGGTGCGCGAAGTCGGGGGGAGCTCGATGTCTGTCGCGGCCACAAAGGGGAGTGTTGACGCATTCCAGGTCAGCTGGTTGGACTCTATGTTGGTATTCTATCAAGTCGAAGAGATCCAATTCTAATAGACACTTCGTGCTCTTCTCAGCCTCAGCCAGCAACTGTCGCCGCAAGGCGCCACTGCCATGATGCAGGTACTGCTCAAAGAAGAGACGAGCCTGCTTTAAAGAGGGAAGAGAATCGGGGCCCCCATCTTCGGCTTCGAAGCCATGAGGGTCTGATCTGTTGTTAGAGTAGTACACCCGCTCGCCCTCAAACATTGTGGGAAGGAGCGAGGACGAAGGAAAACACGAGAGACGAACCACTCCCTATACACCTCAAAAGCCACACATGGCCCAACCTAAAAACAAGTAGAAAGTACAACGGCCTCGAAGATTTCAGGTGGGAACAAATGCTTATGGAGTGGGAGTAACAACCCCCGCCCACCCTAACCACGCCAGGGTGGGTTGGACGAAAAATTGGGCGGCTGCGTTTTACGGCAGCAATTAAGAAACCGGAAAAATCAAAGGCGTAAACAAACAAAAAAAGGCAAAACAGGTTTCGGTTCTGTAGTGTACGCTGCGTCGCTTTAGTACACCTGGGGTTTCTGGGGCTCCGGCGGTGGGTGAAGCTAACACAGGGTCGATGTTTCCCCACCCGTAGTTCTGCGGTGAGGCCAGGTCCTATTGTGCTGTTTCCAGTTTATAATCTCTAACCAATAAACACTTAGTAGGTTTCTTGACAAGTTAACACACATGGAACAGACGAAGGCAAAAGTTTCTCCGCAATACATTGGCGTCGTCCTACTTTCCGAGGGACGAGTTTGTTTCGCCAGAGAGCTTTGAGTAAGGCACAAAAATGATACTTCTTCCAAAAGAAGTCTCTACCAATGTACTGCATTTGATTTAAAATGGTCACAAACCGCCAGTACACATTAATATGCAAGTGCCTGGTAAACAACGTAACGAGGGCCGTTCCGGGAATTGAACCCGGGACCTCTCGCACCCAAAGCGAGAATCATACCACTAGACTAAACGGCCTTACACGCGGTTCACAGTTCAGAGGGGAAATGAGGACTTGGATTGTAGAAATACGCAGGCGCCTCAAGGCGTAGCCGATAAAGTAAATGCCAGATGGGATGCGTCATCTGTTCTTTATGGCTGTCTTTAGCGAAGACCGCTCCGTTTGCTTGCAGTACGCTGTACACACGACAAGGGCAATTCCAGCTAGACAATCTCACGATAAACAAGTGGTGCTTTAATACTGGTGGTCATTGCAGGGTGCTCAGCCTATCTTGCTGTCCATATGAAAAGCCCCATATTCTCCACACACAAAGGGCTGCCCGCCCTCATTCCACTAGCAGCCAAGAAGACACGAAGGAAATATGGCAATCTTGAATTCGGATAACGGAGCAAGTCAAATGGCTCCAAGTCTGCAAGCCCATGTCATATTGCGGATATCCGATACAGGAACGAGACGGAAAAGAACAGAGCAAGAGCTCAGTACTCGCCTGCAGGGCTCACCGCTAGGCTCCACAAAAAGCACTGTTTGTTGGATAACTAGCAAGCTGGAAATTTTGAATTCAACAAAAATTGCCTCGGCACCTGCGTATTTGAACAGCGCTTGCCGATTTTGGGCCGCACGAAGCGAAGTTACTGAGGTTGTCAGCACTGTACTAGAAGGGCGCTGCCTTCCGTTGTTCTCCTTCTCCGATGCTGAAGAACGAGAAGCCCTTCCTGTCGAAACACTTCCGATGCTGCCAGTTTGCCTTGAGCGGCTGCTGGGCTAACCTCCGGGTAGGAAGGAGGTGAAGAAGTTGAAAAATTATTCGGGAAGGGAGGAGCAGGGCGCTTAGCCCGAAGCACCCTTTCAAAAAGGCGGGGGTTGCTGACACCGAGGAGAAGTGCATTCTTGCAGCTGTCCGATAAGCATTCAGAAACTAGGGGAATCCGTTGTCCCCCATGAAGCTCCCGTCGCTGCCTAAACTGAAAGTAGAGAAATTAGCAGGACGTGGCATGCTGTATAGTTCAGACCTTCGGGAGTTCTCGTTGAAAAACCTTTCGTGTGCTTCTTCAGCCTCTCTAGACCACCGGGAGTTCTCGTTGAAAATTCTTTCGTGTGCTTCTTCAGCCTTTCTAGAAACCCTGTCCACTTCGCGCTCTACATTACTGAAAAGTTTTGCCAAAAACTTGTGTGCTCGCCGCTGTCGTGAGGGACGCTTTCGTGAGGCCCGATGTCGTGAAGAGCGTTTCAACTTCATCAGTGGGCGTGAAACCTTTGCAACGGTAACGAACATTGCCAAGAAAAACAGACAAAAAAATGCCATGACGGCGATCGACGCACGCTTGCGAAATTTGTCCGCATCCCAGCTAGGTGGCGCCCCAAATTCCTGAAAGACCGGGGGAATGTACTGCTGCGGACCAGAGTATGCGTTTAGATTGAGTAACTCCTGTTCTCTCGGCAGTTCATTGGCGTCGAGGTCTCTGGGATAAGCACGCATCACTCCCTCTAAGTCATTCTGTGCCTCAAAAAGAGCGCTGTCCAGTTCCTTAGCTCTCTGTAAGCAGTTTCTACGGGCTGGCTCCAGGACTCCTGACGCTCCTTGGCTCTGCGGAGCATTTAGATACGACAATCCTCGTACAACAAAGGGACCGAGTTTCTTGAGTGCGGTGGTCATCAGGTCCGCGTCCCCATGCAAGGCAATGTCGGATAGAAGCTGCTCTACTTGCTGGAGCAGTGTAATGAAGGGCACTACCATATACTCTGCCAACGCCTTTCCAGAGTCAGCGTAGCCCTCAGCAGCCCCCAAAACTCCAGCAAGCTTGGAAGCCAAAACCGAAATGCGCCCCTCAGCTGCGGCCTGAAACTCCGTTTTGCCAAGCCCGTAATTGTTCAAGGGGTTCTCTCTCCCCTCAGCATTGTTGTTCACCCCCACAAAACGCGTGGGAAGTCGTGGCAGTGCTCCACGAAAATGACGTAGAAGCGCCGAACTCAACCCACTTGTCGAGCTCTCCAAAATTTGAGCAAGAGACAGCAGAGAACTGCCAAGGCGTGCTGACTGGGGAGGTTCATAGCTTACATGAGAAGAAGAGAAAGAATGTTCTGCAGTCAGTGTTGTATCTCCTCTCCCCTCTAGAGTTTCCTGCTGTCCAAACCACTGATGCCCTGCCAAGGTTAAGGTCTCATCCTGCTTCCCTATAGAGGATCCATAACTGGAGTGAGTGAAAGGTGTTTCCGTTGCAAAGTTACCATGCTGCTCATCATATTCAAGATCCTGACTAAGGCGTTCGTGCCAGCCTGCCTCAGCCCGTTGAGTGCTATGCAGAAGCGCCACCCCACAAAGTGCTGTGGCTACCCAGAGCAACGGCTGCACCCCCATTAGGTGTTTGTGAAGAAATTCGGCCTGAGGAAGACGACAATTCGAAGCTCGCCAACTTCAGCTACTCCAGGCAAAGGCACTATTTCGTTTTGTAAACAAGTTCCTGTGTACTCTCCTGGAAAAGAGAGATCGCGTACATGCAGCATACGCTTCCTCCCTGGTCGCTCCCGAGCAACGAATAATACAGCCAAATATATGGCCTTTGTGCAGAAACAATGAAAAAAAAGGCGTTGAAGTTCCTGACGACTGCAGTGAATGCAGTGTCCCCGTCTTGCGTGTGCAGGTAGCGTGAAACCGGAAACGAAGTCGCTGCCCCCTATAGAACCACGATTGAAACTTCCACCTCCAGCACAAATAAAAAGCGAGAGGCTGCTTGTTACAGGATGCAGCTACGCTTTCCACAGGCCTGGTAGGCTCCCTGAATCACCGTGGTCCGATAGGTGGGCGAAGGCTGGTCGCCGCTCGACATCATGCCTCTTTTTTCCGTGCTGTGAATGAAATTGAAGAATATAAGGGAGATCTACAACTGCCTGAAGAGCCATTTCCTACGCGCATCCCTCGCGGGCGGCGACGATTTTTGGGAACGGTACAGGGCTTCTTGACTCAGGGAAAGGACTCCAACGGGAAACAGGTCGTGTCCTCTTAACACTTGTGGAAGATTCTGAGTTTCATATGAAGGCTTTTATTTTCTGTATTTTTTTCCTGACGGGTAAGGAGACCAAAAAATGTTTTTTGAACTGATTTGCCGCGATGGTCTACGGGCGGACGCCATCAGCCGTCGACCATCTTCCGAATCCTGCCTATCATGTGCGGCTTTGCAACGGTAATAAGGTACAAATAACTTTCTTGTGGTAGACAACGCCTTTTAATTGGTTTTGTACCATTGCTGGTTTCATGGGGTGAGTGCATTTCATAGCGGTACGTACCTGCGTAGACGGGCTTGAAAGAGCCTTAGTGATGACTGTCATGAGCTGAAATGGAGTCAAATACTTCAAGGTAGGGCCTCCCAAAAGCGGAGAAAAACCTGGTCAGCCACCAAGACGCTTGAGTGCAGTAGCCCAAGAGCCTGGGCGTAGCATGGTCAATGTGAATTCGGTACATGTACCTCTACTCTACTGGTGTGCGGGCTGCCTACAAATGGCTAAGTAACCGTTTCGCAGCTGTCTACAGGGTTAACGCATTTGAGCAAATGGGGCGTGGTTGTGCTTGGACTCGGAGCTGCCTTGCTGGGCTGCTGCGCCCAGAGTGTCAGGGGAATATAGAGGAGGCCACCTCTTTTCCATGAACACTTATCTTAAGTCTTTTGGCTCAGTTGCACCTCATCACAGTTTTCCGATAAGGCTGAGGGTTCGCCGTACAACCATACGTCGCCTCCGCCCTGAAGCTAGAAGCGAGCACTCCGTCTAAATGTAAATCTAAAAAAGTGCCTCCAGAAACCGTGCGCCCAACAAGGAATACCACAGTAGTCGGACTGTGCTGTACTGACGCCATGCTGCGTTTACTCCGTTTTTAATTTGTACTAAGGACATCCTGAAGCCATTTCCCACGTTCGATACATGCTAGGCTTCTGAGCAAATGCTCTTCTTTTGGCGCTATGCCCTCTAGCAACGACCAAAAGGCAAGCATTCACGGGTCTATGCAGCCTGGCCCGAACGTCTTCCAAGCACTATACTTAAGTTTGGGAGTCTCTGGATATGTATTCGTTTTCATCCAGGTTCCATCTCAGGTTTAAATTTGTTAACGTCCATTCGCATGGAAGGGAACTTTTAAGTTGTGATCCTGGAATAGGTGACACTACCTACAGAGAACGTCCATACCAGCAGGAGCGTTGCTTGAGACTCCATGATCGGTAGCTCAGTAGGAGGCCGCATTTCACTTTGGTGGTATTTTCTCACAAGCTAGAAAGAGGGCTAGGATGCGCCTCCATTGGTAAAGTACCAGTAACTGTGAAGAGTTCCGCAGCACCGCCGCTAATCCAGAAAGAGGTCCTTTTGTGGTAATGTAAGCTTCCTCCTCCAAAGATGCGAGTACTTGGAAATGCACCTACTCGCCACCCACAAGGAGCTTCATGCAAAACCCACATTGTGGCAAGACTGCTACTGCATTAAGTTGGGAACAGGTCGGTGGCATTCGGAGAACACAGCAAAGAGCTAAAAAATGTGCCGTATATGTAGCGCCACTACCTGAGCGGAAGGAAGAGGGCATTAGAAAGAAGGTAACGAATACGCACTCCGACGCCTACAGAACTAGCTACCGCACAGCATCGGCGCGAACAATGCCTGAACACAAATGATCCCTCTTGCCTGAAATGCTGGATAAGAAAAGCCAACGGGAAAAGGAAGCTCGCCGATGCAAGGCGCGCTTGGACGCACTGCCGGAAAAAAAATGCATTCGCCACCAATGCATGCATGCGTAAAGACCTGCTGTATCACCACCAGTACTTCACTGTGTAGTAGTGGGACATCGACAATGAGGATGGCGGTGAGTAAGCGCCTCTCGACTGTTGAGAAGCCCATCGTCCTACTCTAGCGCTAAATCGTGAAGATTAGCGCGTGGCTTGCGTACTGCGTCCTGTAGCTGCGCGAGCCGGTCGCTTTCAAGCATGTCACACATTGACAAGGTGCTCTGAAGTAACGTCTCGAAGCATTCAGGTATTTCTGCCTGGTTTGTAGTGTCCTTGACTGTTATCAATTCAGTGTCGAATCGCCTCTTGAGGCGTCCCACCTCAGTCCATTCACTTTCAGCTTCCCGGAATGGAAACATAAATACAAGGCCTATCGTTCTCTCAAGTCCTTCTATTTCCTTTGCTATCCTAAGAAGAATCTGGCATCGCTTCCGAAGCATCAATACGTCTGCTCTTTTCGCCACTGCCTCGGCCCTCAATGCCGTCTTCTTATCCAGCGCAGAGGAACCCAATCCTACTTTATCCAGTTTATATTTTTTTGTCTTCTTCGCCGAACCGAGTAATTCTTGCGCCCTCACCCATAATTCCTTTGCAGTGCCTTCAATTTGGCGCCACGGCTCGGTAAAATACCTTCTTGCGGCTGTTATCATAGCGCTGTCAATGTGTGCATCAGCCTCTACTTGCTCACCACTACCGGACTTGATCTTCGTTGCCAACTTTTGCAGGAACGCTTTGCCGCTAGAAAAATTGGGCCCCACTTCTCCAGGTTTACCGCCAGTGTCTGCGAAGGTACTTTGTGCAGCGCTCCAAAAATCTTCGCTGTCCTTTACGGCTGTCTCAGCAATCTTCGCCATCTTCTCAGACGCAGCGGAGGCTTCTCGCTTGTTCAAAGGCTTGTCTTGCAAAGTTAAATACAGCTTCTCTTTTACCGGTGCCAAAGCAAATTTGATTTTGTGGTTGGACAACTTTGCGCGTTCGTACGCAGCTGTAACACCCTCGACGTCCGTCGCAGAAGCCATAGCGCTCACATCCGCAGACTGCTGTGCAAATATATCTTTGATGCTTTGAATATCTGCTTCCGCTATTCCAGAAGCTGGCTGCTCCGCAGATGATGGACGAGTCTCCGACAACAATGAGTGAAGTCCATAGACTAAGTTTGCATCCACTTCAAGTGGGATGCGGTCAGCCTGGATGCGCCACGTCAGACGCAGTTTCTGCATATCTAGAATATCGTTAATCAATTCACTATCCAGAGTAGCCAAACCTTCCAAGGTTCTCCTTCGGGAGTTCAGGGCAGCAACGGCACCGTAGGCCTGGATAAAGTCATTCGCCTCACACTCGTCTATGAACTGTGCACCCATCAAGCGCCTATAATGATCTTCAGTCTGTTCCTGCAGATTCATAGAAGTATTTCCCACTGCGGCCAGCGTTGCGACAGCCATACTGACCGATAGGGAGTCCAAGGCTTCCTCAAGTGGCTTCCGTAGAGGATCGACGGGTGTAAAGCAAAGCCTCTGAGAACAATGGCCGTACAATGCCTCACCATGGGCTTTTGCCATTGCTGCCAAACGCAATAGAGCATCGCGCGCTCCTCCCAGGTATGATTTCATGGAACCGATGGCCTCAAGCCGAACGGCTGCAATGTTTGGGTGCCCCTGGCTTTTTGCTGCCTCGTAGGCCCTCTCTGTTCGCTCAGCGCCCTCCACATTTGCTTTCAATGCCTGGAGAATCTCTGCTGCCTCCTGCATCGGCAATTCAACTACCATCATATTCGCAGCATTCATCATATTGCTGATCACGCCCAACCGAGCCGTCAAGTCGTGCAGCTCCTCCTCCCCCCCTGCCACGACAGCACCATGTCCCGGGATTTCGGGAGTGGGCACACTGACAGGTCCTTGAGGGGCTGGGGCTGACGGTTGCAGATGCCCCACTTCCGGTGCAACAGGAGTTGAAGCTGGTGGCGGAGGTGCTGGAACTTCCGGTGAGGTTGGCTGTGTACTAGGCGGTGCAGGCGGAGGTAAAGGCGGTTGTGAAACGGCTTCTGGTTCCTTTTCCGCTTGCTTTTCAGTACCTGGTGGCACCTCAGAAATGGCAGGCGGCTCGAGCGTCTGCGTATCCTTCCGAACTTCCTTTCCAGTAGGCCGCCCACGCAAAATTGGTCTTCGTATAGGCTCATCGTCCGGCTCTCCACGACCACCAGATGTTTCTGCTGGTGCCTCTGTGGGGGATTCGTCTTTCTGTTTGCTTTCCGGAGTTTGCACAGGTATATCCCCCGGACGTTCCTCTGCTGGCGAAACTCCACCTGTCGGCAAATGCTCCTCTGCTGGAGCAGGTAGATCTCCTGATTCCCCCCCATGTAGGAATTCTTCTGTGGGGACCTGCAGTTTTTCCTCTGCCTTCCTCTTGCGTTCTTTCTCAATACGAGCTAAAATCACCCTAAGTAGGATTACGAAAAGGGCAGCCACAGCAATTAAAAGGAGTCGTTTCTTTGAGGCAGCCGGCGCTTGTGGCTGGGTGCCTATTACTCCCTGCTGGGCAACACGCCCTGCATTATGTCTATCCACTGGAAAGTTCTGGACTTCGGTCTGAAGATTCAGTACTGATGCCTCTTGGACAGCCTGGCTGGGTGCCTCTGACGAGTATACATATTGTTGCTCAGCATGCCATAGTGCCACAAACAGCCAGAAAAGCCTCTGCAACCGAATAACGTTGAACGTCTGCCTCCTGTTCTTCATTGTCATACAAATGCCAGTGACCCAGAGGGACATCCAAAGTCGCACACCCACGAGCACGTAGATACGACCCTACCCCTACTATGCTGATCGCCTAGAAGGAGGTCGACGTTCCAAGGGCCACCCACACATTTCGAGGACAACCGAATGGTCCGAGACCAAGCTCAACGAAGGTGCTGCTATTTGGCTCACACAGGACTCCGCAAAATTAGCAGCGTAGAATGGGCGAGAAAGGGCAGCCGAAGGGCTACCGTTCAAATTCGCGGCATCGCCTGTACTGGCTTGACGAAAATCTTTCCAACAGCTTAAAACTTAGTTGGAGAGGAAAATGATAATGACTGTAATACAAACAAGATAAAAGTTGTTACGGGATTCCCTCAGAACCGAAACTCATCGGATACTGCGCCTTACGGGCTCGGCGCTCCGCAGTATTTTCGGCGAGAAGGCAGCCACTCACGATCCCCACGCAACGCCATGGGGAAGGTGTAGATAGCTGAAAGGAATTTTTTTAATAAATAAAAAACAGTTGATTGAATTTTACTTGCTGCAATAGCCAAATGAGTCGTCTTGCTCGTTAACATCCACTTCACTGGGCAAATCCCTCCGCCCTGAACGTGGCACCACATGGTTTGCACGAAATGGGTTCGTGTATTTCTACTTGCATAAAGACCGACTATTGAGCGCCGATTAATCGTTTAACAACTATTTTCAGTGTTGGAGCAACAAGAAAAGGGGTACGGTTGCACCTGCTTGTGGAGTTGCGTAACAGCACATGCCGCAGTCTGTAGGCAGTGCCCTCGATCTTAGCTGAGAGGCGTTACGAGTTACAATACAGCAGAAATGCTTGCGGGAAAAATTCCCAAAAGCGGCAAGCCTTTTCGTTAACCCCTTCATATGCAAAAAAGCGCCAGAGAACCTGACTGGGCTGGTGCGAAAGGGGACACAACCTGCTAATTTCAGTGGACAGAGCAAGAGCTAATACGCGGTAACCGCAGATGCACCACAACCAAGCCCTCTTTGCCGCACTCATTAAAACTGTAGCTAACTGTTAAGCACTTTCCTGGCCTTTGTTGGGCGGGCTGCGTGGATGGCGAAACACGTTCCACCTTCAGCCAGAGCATCAAGAGCTTCCTCAACACACCAGATCTATAACATTTTGCCGCTGTGCACAGGAAATGTGAAGACTGGAGGGACAGCAGCTGCTTCGTGGAACCCTTAACCTGAGTTTTTACACTGTTGGTGCCCACAGCTGCCCTCCGCTATGCTCGAGGACTGTCGTTACACTTTTGGGGTCATTACTCCGGCTACTCTATTTGCAACTAAAGCACTAGAATTTTACGCAAATATGCTGCACTTGGCATTTCACGTTCATGGGAAGTCGACCTGCTAGGGCGCTACAGTTGTGCGCAACTATTGTGGGCTTGGCACTTCGGGTCAGTGGGGAATCGACCGTTCTCTTCATTAGTGTATTAAGGGTAGATCCGCATTAAATGGCCGGAAGCCCGCTTTTTGTACAACCCCCCTTGGTAGCTCGGATTAGTATGACAATGGGAACAAAGAAGCATTCTTTGAACATTCTTTGCTTGCGAAATTGTTCCTGGCTGTTTGTGGCATTCTGGTTTGTGAAGCAAGAGAATGCATGCTCGTCAGAGGCACCAGAAAATGCCGTCGAAGAGGTTACATGTTTGAAAATGTCAAACGAGTTTAAATTCGACACGCTGTGTAGATTGCGTACCCAGCAGGAAGTAGGAAGTAACAAGCTTGAATGCAAACCAGCGAGCTCAAAGTAATTGCCGCCTGCTTTTCGTAGCCCTACTAAAAGAAAGTTTAGTTCGTATGCAGAGAGAACACAAGAAGAAGCCGGAGGGTCCGTGGGGACCTCCTACAGAGGAGCTCCTACTGAAGGCGGAATTCGAGCAAATGCTTGCGCCCGAAGGGGAGAGGAGCATCTGCCGACAGGTGGAATTTTGCCAGCAGAGGAGCCTCCGACCGAAATGACTGTGAGAAGACCGAGGCGGAAACAAAAATGTGAACTTCAGCCTTAAAAAAGCAGAGAGGCCTGGTATTGTTGGAAAACTAGAAGAAAGACTTCAGATAATCCAATCAACCGCTGGGGGAACAGTTGAAAGGAGGCTGCGGAAACAGGTGCCAGCATCCGATGCATCTGGCATTCACCAGGTGCACCCAACGGCTAGAGAAGAAGAGGAACGGAAAGGGGAAGAAGAAGGCCTTCAGCAATCAGCTTCAGAGCATATTGTTCAACCCACCTTGCTGCCGTTTCTAGAACCTTTGCCATCAGGTCCAACGCCCGGTGTGCCAAACGTGGGATATGCACAGCCCTGGGTCCCACTAGGATGTGTCATTGTTCCGCCTTACGAATGCCCAGTATATGGTGGTATCATGAAGCCTGAGGAGGCCGAGGAGCTGCAAGGTTTGAGGGCTCAGCAGCCCATCGTCAGCAATGTAGTGCATGCTGCAACCAGGCTTGTAGGGCAATTGCCGGTGAAGGAGGCTCCACGGGTTGACCATGCATTGAAATCGAATACGAAGATGTCTGAACAGAGATAGGTCAGTACTGGTGAGAAAGTACAGGTTTCTGCACACCCTGGCAACGGTATGCAAGTATGTTAAAGTGTATTTGGCCAAGCTGTGGCGCAAATTAAGTAGAGGTAAACCCACTAGAAAATCCACCGAGTTGTACGGACTGGAGAATCTTTAAGGGTTCAGCATTTAAAGCGTTCAGCAGCTTTTTCCGCTGGCATTCAAGACACACGAGGACGCATTGAGGGCATGCTTTTTGGATGCCGAGCCAGAAAGCATGCGCTCAAGGCGTCCTCATGTGTTTGGCCCTGTGTGGAGAGCGGAGGCCCGCTTGTCAAGCCGCCAGAATGAGCTAGACACTCGCTCCACTGTTGTACTGGCGTCACCAAGGCCCAGTAAAGCATGAGTGTGCCTTTTTGGACAAAACGTCTGCGCGAAACGAATTTGGAACGTACCATTTGCGGAGTGCAGGCATCGTCTGGTACCACAAGAGTTCTCGTACATGCTGGACGGCTTTTCCTGTTCCGCGTTCTCAAGCTTAGAAAGCGTGAAGCCGCATGAGCATCCAAGGAAAAAGAAGAATGCAATCTACAAAGGAAGCGCCATACCAGACAAGCGGAGTTACTGAACGGAGTGCCAGACGGGTAGAGCATCGGGAGAGTGAAAAGGCGACAACGTTGGTCATGCCCTCGATTTACTCCACTATGAACTCGTGCTGCGCAGGCCAGCAAGGCCACCACAACGCCTCTTTCTCGGTTTGGCGTTGCAGTTCCTGCAGTTGGATATGCTCTGCGCGCGCCAACATGAGTACACTAGAGCAGCAGGGCTTGATACTAGGCCTCGGGTTGCATGATCAAATCAACAGCAGAAGCAACCCCTCAGATGTAGTAGGAGCAGTAGGACAGGCAGCTGCACCTGGAAGGACAGCAGGTGTCTCAGCAGCAGGTGCAAGAGCAACAGGAAGAGCAGTAGTGGCGGGAGCAGCAATAGCTACCCTATGATATTGAGGGTAGGAGTACTGCTGGACTGTGGCGTGCTGCGGCCGATTGTTTTTACAGCAGCAACAGCAGCGACGAGATATCAGCAGCAGCAGACCCCAGCTACATTTCATTCACAATATGGGCATGCATTATTATTTCCATCTTCACTAACTGTTAGTTACATGTTTATTGGTGGTTTCCATCCACCTCATCGGTCCTGTAAAATCGTTAACGGCACCACCAGATGGTGCTGAGTGCAAACATTGACACAAACGAGAAGCATCAGAAGCGAAGGAAGCAAAAGAGCTACTCGAGAGCAACATGAGCGAAAGAACAGGCAACCCAATGTGCGGTAGCATCATGGTGCCGTTCGCCCCCCTCTGCGTGTTATTCTTTTTCCTTTGTTATGCGCGACCAGGCACACGAGGGCGTGTGCTGCCTGAGGTAAGATTTTTGGCGGCTCGCGTAACATGGTAGTTGCATCTTTAGATGCTTGCTAGCACGCTTGCAAATATCTCGTAAGCATTTTCAAACTGTCTAGTGCTAGTGCGCGTAACAAAGGAAGCTTTGTTGTGCTTGCAGTGGGGGATTCCCGGCAGAATTAAGTGCAGCGAGGTGCAGTGCAGGCCGTGGCTGTGCGGCTCCTCTCTGCACCAACCCGGGGCCCTTAATCCGCGGTGCCGAGAGCGTATGGGGAAGAGGAGGTTAGTTAGCTGTTTCTTGACACGTCTTGTCCTACATATTTTGTTCTGTTACCGCTCGTGATAGTCTTGACGACGATCGAGAACCCCCTGCTTCCAGCGACAATAAGAAAGGCGCTACATATCTGTTGCTGCTCGGGTTCGGTAAACAGATATTTGAAAAAATGCCATTAGAACTTCATAATAGGATACAAATTCACCATTCTCACGTACTGCATCAAAGGAGAGTACTGCATCCAGAACAGGCGAGACATCAGCAGTGTACTTCAACACAGCTGATGTTCAGGAAAGCTGTATCCTTGTAACAATCCTGACGTATCTGTTTAAACATTAAAACATCAGGGAGACTATCTTCTATTATAGATGAACATATATAGAAGTATTCGCCCATTTCCAGTGCATGCATGCAGCTGAGTAGCATGGCTTAACTGGGGCTTGGCGTCAGGGCCGCCTGCACCGGTGTGGGTGCAGGAAGGGAAGCTGAATAAAGATTTGAAGGCTTTCCCAAAGCAAATATCTTCTTTTTGTGCCACGGGGCAAGTTCAGGCCAAAACGATTCATATTTATCTGCAGGTCTTCCCCAGAAAGCACAATGAAGCGAGGTAAGTGTGGGGTGATATTGTATGGGTGTGTTTTTTGGTGATGGCGCTTCTCTGCTCTTCTTCTTCCTTTACATTCGAAATAATGTCTACATTTTCTCTTACTCGAAGTTTAATTATTATATTTGCAGAGTGAATAGATGGATTGATGCTGCCCGCCTGGTTCTGTAGCCGTCGCCAGACGATGCTGATACCTGTACACAATCAATTTGAGTATGCACACGCGACAGTGTTTATTCATAAGTTGCCTTAAATACTATTCTTATTCACATTTATATTGGGGTATTCTTCGAAATGTCGACAAATGAAATGCATGCAGGGGTGCATCTGGCGGGGCCCGCTGCAGCTGAGATGAGATTATTGCTGCAGCAAGATGCTCCCTCTGCTGCATTTACCTTTGTTTGTATTCTTTGTTTTATTCTTTTCGCAGGACGTGGGGGTGCCGGTGGCAACAAGATGAAGGTGACCCTCGGTAGGTGCTTTGTCTATAATGCATCATTTTTCTGGCTTTGTTTTTTTGCTTGCAAGGGAATCACTCAAGGAAACAAGAGTTGCAGCTTGCGCTCTTCATTGTTGTTTAATTAAGCATTCTGTGCTGTTGCATTACCATTAAAATAACTTGTTTTTGATTGTTTTATTTTGCTTCTTTGGGGTTTCTGCTGCTGCAGGTCTTCCGGTGGGTGCCCTCATAAACTGCTGCGACAACAGCGGAGCGAAGAACCTGTACATTATTGCAGTAAAGGTATATTTTTAATGTCTTTCATCTTTCGTATAATGCATATCTTTTATAGAGTTAAAGTTTTCCGGTCATCTCCCCCTCTTACTATTATAATTGACGTGGCCTAACCTTTGTCGCTCTGCACAGCACAGCGCATGCACCCCCTACTTTTACCTAAACCCTAAACCCTAGCAACGCTGGCTTTGCTGAGTTATGCGTGTGGCATGGGGCTGCTGCTGTTCATGGTGGTGGTGCTGCTGCTGTTCGTGCTGCTGTTGCTGCTGCTGCGGGTTTCAGGGCTGGGGCTCTTGCCTTAACAGACTGCCTTCGAGCTCTCTGGGGGACCTGGTGCTGGCAACAGTAAAGAAGGGAAAGCCTGAGTTGAGGAAGAAGGTGCACCCAGCTGTTATTGTAAGACAGCGCCGTGCATGGAGGCGAGCTGAGGGGTACTTTATATATTTTGAAGACAATGCAGGAGTTATTTGCAACAACAAAGGAGAAATGAAAGGCTCCGCTATCACAGGACCCGTCGCAAAGGAATGCGCCGAACTCTGGCCTAAGATCTCTGCTGCTGCCCCCGCTATCTGCTGAATAACCAACAGTAGGAGCAGCTGTAGCAGCAGCTGTAGCAGCAGTTGCAGCAGCAGCTGTAGCAGCAGCAGCAGTTGCAGCAGCAGCTGCTGCAAAATAACAAAAGCCTAAGTCGACACCTATCCCTTTGAGGGGCCCTTGGGGTCTGGCTTGGGTTTTCTCTGGAATTGTCTTGCGGTTGGGTGGATACAAGTTGTTCCTTTTAAAGTCTCTGCATGCAGAAGAGTAACAATAGACATGCAGATAAATAAATATAGCTGCATCATATTCAGGTAGCCTGCTGCTGAGAGCCGTAGGCAGCACTACACGCTGTGCTGTATGGACAGATAGCAACACGCAGCAGCAGCAGCGCCTGCATGCATACACCTGAGGCCTTTGCCGTCGTCCTGTGCATGGGTCATAGGGGTGCTGCCTATTTAAGGTTAATAGAGGAATGTAAGGGCCTCCTAAGGGAGGTGTACTCTCATAGCAGCAGCAGGAGCAACAGCTGCAGTTGCTACTGCTGCTGCAGCATCAGTTGCAGCAAGGGCAGCAGCAAGAGCAGCAAGAGTAGCAACACCTGCAGCTGCAGCAGGGAGCTATAGTATGAGTGGCCAGAAGGCTCCAAGCAGCAAAAACTTATAGGGCGCTTACGGTGCTGCCGTGTGGAACTCGACTGCTACTTAGTAGCAGCTGCTGCTGCAGCTGCAGCAGGTGCTGCCTACTGCAACAGCAGCAGCTGCTGCTGCTAGGCGGTGTTCTCTTATCGTCAGCGCCTACATGCGCTTCTCCTTAGTCCATTAACTCTGCATACGCCTCAATAAGAAACGCTGAAAATGCTGCAGCACTGCACTGTCGCCTTCCCGTCGGCAGCAGGTCTAAGGGGGGCCCCTAGGGGCCCCCATGGGGCCCCCTTAGACTCGATGCCCTGGGGGGCTGGGAAGGATTGCAGTATTATAATTTATTAACTAAAATGAGAGGATTTGAAAGGGAGAAAAAAGAAGAAAAAGACAGCCTCTCATATATAAGGAGCTCTAAGACACTATTGCATGCAGCAGGGGGCCCCTGAACGTACACATTACAGTGTAGCGAGCAGAGGGGCCCCTAAAGAAGAGGGGGCCCCACTGCAGCACCCCAAGAGACACCAAAGAGGCCCCTGTGCCTCCCTTATATCGACGCAGACGACGCTGCAGGGGCCCCTCAAGAACAGGAGAAGAAGGGGGCCCCTCTGAACAAGAGAAGAAGGGGGCCCCTCTGAAGAAGAGGAGCAGGAGGCCCCTCTTGGAAGGAGAAGAAGGGGGCCCCTCTACATAGGGCACGAAGGGGCCCCCTCTGAAGGAAAGGCAATAAGGGGGCCCCTGCGAACAGGGTAAGAAGGGGCCCCTTTGAAACGGTTCCATGGGTACGGAAGCGGCGGGGAGGGTAGGGGCCCCCCAGCAGCCTGTGTTGCTGCTGCTGCATCATCTGCAGCCTCCCCTAGAATGGCAGCGTGCTGCTGCTGTCCTACGGTCTTCTCTTTGCCCTGCTGCAGCAGGGGGCCCCCAAGAGGAAGAGGGGCCCCCCTATGACTGGCAAGGGGCCCCTTTGACTGCAGCAAAGCTTCAACAACTTCTACGAGATATACAGCATGCAATACACCAGGGATACATCGAGCGCCAATCTCTGCTGCAGCAGGGGGCCCTCTCTCCCCCAGGCCTGGGAGTTGCTCTGGGGGCCCCTTCAGGGCAGGCAGCAGCAAACCAGCAGCAGCAGCAGCAGCAGCAGGTCCTCCCGCCTCCACCCCGCCTCACCCCCAAGGCCTACAGCAACGTAGAGCGCCTTTTTGCTGCTGTCCCTGCAGCAGCAACACAACCCTTCTTCTCAAGGGCCCTGCCGCTGCTAATAAAGGCGGTACTGGCTGCTGAGCAGATCTTCCCCAGGTGTACGTACACCCCAGAGAAAAGAACACATAGCGAACAGGTGCAGCCTGATACAGGTGACTTCAGGGACAGCCCAGCAGCAGCAGCAGCAGCAGCAGCAGCAACAGCAACAGGAGCAGCAGCAGGAGAGGCAGAGGGGAGAAGACTGAACCCGTGCCAGTGCGGCTCGTGCCGCCTACGGCTGCAGCTGTATAAGCACTGCAGCAGCGATGGCTGCAGCAGCAGGAGCAGCAGCATTGGGGGGCAGCAGCACGTCAGCAGCAGCGCAGCAGAGTTAAGTGCAGGTGAAGTATGGGTGTTGTTTGGCTTGGGGTTCTTGGGTTTGCTGCCGCCTCCAGAGTGGCAGCAAGTTGCTGCAGGTTTTCCTAATCTAGGCGACATCTCCTTCGCTGATTTCTATGATCTAACAGGTACCCTGCCGCTGCTGCTGCTGCTGCTGCTGCTGTTGCTGTGACTGCTGCTGCTGTTGCTGTAACTGCTGCTGTTGCTGTGACTGCTGCTGCTGTTGCTGTAACTGCTGCTGTTGCAGTGACTGCTGTTGCTGTTGCTGTAGCTGCAGCTGTTGCTGTAACTGCTGCTGCTTTAACTGTTTTTGCGACTGCTCTTGCTTCGACTGCTGCTGCTGCTGCTGTTGCTGCAACTGCTGCCGTGACAGCTCTTGCGTCGGCTGCTGCTGTGGCTGCTGCTGCTGCTGCTGCTGCTGCTGCTGTTGTGGCTGTTGCTTCGTCTGCTTCGCCGTCCTCCTCAACTTCAGTTGCCCAGGAGGCCCCCTGGGGCCCCCATTTGGAGTATTGCAATTAACAGAGGCTCACTTGAGCTCAGCTCTCTGCTGCTGCTGCTGTTGCTGCTGCTGCTGTTTCCTTCTGCTGCAGCTCCGAGTCAGGCTGCCAAGTTGCACTGCTTCGTCAGGTGAGGAGAGGGTTAGCTGAGCGCTGTTGCTGCAGCAGGAGCAGCGGCAAGAGCAAGACTAGCAGTAGCAGGAAGACTAGCGGCAGCAGCAGGAGGGGCAGCAGCAGCAAGACTAGTAGCACCTGCAGGTGCTGCTGTTGTGTGCTCCTTGCTGCAGGTACTGCTGCTGCATGGCTGCAGCAGCAGAGGCCTTCAACTTCAAGTGCAGACAGAAGAATATCAGAGCCTTTACCTTCGCTCCGCCACACTTCGCCAGTCTTTGCTGCAGAGACACCCGAGAGAAGGAGACAGCCTATGCGGTGTCTCTGCTTCTAGAGGAAGAAGTTCGAGGCTTCCTTCCTAAAGAGACAGCTGCTGCTGCATCTGCTGCTGTTGCTGCTGCTGCTGCGGCGAATGCGGCAGAAACTGCAGCAGCAACAGCAACAGAACCGCCTCCTCAAGCTGCAAACGACTGTCTACGGCAGCAGCAGCAGCAACCTGCAGCTAGTGACACCACAACCAGCAGCGGAAGCAGCTTCAGCGGCAGCAGCAGCAGCAGCAGCAGGGGAGAAGTTCGCGACGGCTTTCTGTGGGGCCCTTCCGTGTTGTGTGCAGTGCCAATGGGGGCCTCTGCACGGGGTGTATGGCCAGTTGAGTATCCCTGCTGCTTCGTGCTGCGGTGTCTCCGCTTCGCTAGGGCTCAGGCTGAGGCTTGGTGCTGCAGCGCGGAGACAGTAGCGCTGCAGCAGCAGCCGCTGCTGCTTCCAGAGATCGTAGCAGCAGCAACAGATGGGGGGGGAATCCCTACCAGCGACGCAGTGGACATCCGCGCTGATTTTGCTAACAAAGTCATTGGAGGCGGCATTCTCTATCACGGTAAGTTTCTGCTGCTGCTGCTGTTGCTGCTTTCCTTGCTGCTGCTGCTGCTGCTTTCTTTGCTGGTGGTGGTGGTGCTGCTGCTGCTGCTTGCTTTGGTGCTGCTGTCGCTTCTGCGTGCTGCTGTTGCTGCTGGTTCATTTGCTGCTGCTGCTGCTGCTCTGGTTTGCTGCTGCTGACGTCAGCTGCTCGCATATATTGCTGCGAGCTCGAATATGTCAGTGCAGCTCGTGCTGCAGCAGCAACAGAAGCAGCAGCAACAGAGGCAGCAAAAGCAGCAGCAACAGAGGCAGCAAAAGTAGCAGCAGCAGCTGCAGAATTGCTGCAGCAGCGGCAGTTCTGCAGTGGAGTGTAGCGGAGTATCTGCGGATGCTGTTGCATTTACCTGTCTCCTTTCTTCTGTCTCCTTCGGGTGTCTGGACACTGCGCTGCTTGCTTCGTTGTTTGTGCTGCAGGGGCCCTACAAGAAGAAGTATTTTTTGCTGTTGCTCCAGAGCTGCTGCTGCTGCGGCCTCTCTCGCAGCACCTGCGCTTAGGGGAAGCAGCGCATGCATCCGGCTGTCTCCGCTTCTCAGCCTATCGGGGCTATGCTGGCAGCTTCAGGTGTCTCCTCAACAAACAAAAGGGCAGCAGCAGCAGCGGGGGCAGCAGCAGGGGGTCTTCAAGCAGACAGCAGCAGCAGGCACAGGGCAGGCCGCAGCAGCAAACCGATGGAGACACAGCAGCAGCAACGGCAGCAGCAGCACCATCAGCAGCAGCAGCAGCAGCTACGGAGCAAGCAGCAAAGAGAGGGCATCTGCTGCTGTCTCTTGACTCAGATGATGAAGGAGACAGACAGGGAGGGGTCTCCGGGGGTCCGATCCCAACGGAGACAGCAGCAGCAGCAAACCAAGACTATGAAGAGACAGAAGGCGTGGAGGCTCTCGACAAGACGCCGCTGCAGCTGCAGTGGCTCTTCCCCCTTGCTGCAGCAGCACCCAACTGCCAGCAGCAAAACCCCCAAGCGCCGCATGCACACACGAAGACAGAGAGAGAGACGGAGACAGCAGCAGCAGCAACAGCAGCAGCAGAAGAAAAGCAACAGCAAGGGACTCTTCGCTTGGGGACCCCGCTGCTGCGGGTCCAGTGCGCCTCCCTGGTGGCGGCCTTAGATGCTGCTCGCTTCGGTGGTTCTCGAGCTGCACAAGCAGCAGCAGCAGCTGCTGCTGCAGCAGCAGCAAACGTTACGGAGTTGCCTGGGGCTCCCACGTGCATGCATGCAGCTGCAAGAGAAGTGCTGCCGCGGCCTCAGCAGTTTTCAGTCCCCTTGATGCTGCGAGAGATACAGAAAGTCTCTGCTGCGCTGCACCTCCCCAGAGAGCGCGAAGCTGCTGCTGCAGGAGCTGCTGCTGCAGCAGCGGGAGGAAGCGCGTACATGAGACCATTCTGCACAGGTAAGAAACCAACTCAGCCGCAGCAGCAAAATGCTGCTGGGCTTCTGCTGCTGCTGGTTGTGCTGCTGCCGCTGCTGTTTCTGCGGCTGTGGCTGCAGCTGCTGCTGCTGCTACTGCTGCTTCTGTGGATACGGTTGCTGGTGCTGCTGCTTCTCTGGCTACGGTTGCTGCTGCTGCTGCTTGTGCTGTTTGTGCATCTACTGTTGCTGCTGTTGCTGTTGTTTCTGCTGTTTGTTTTGGTGCATGCAGGGAATTGGGGCTGCGGCTTCTTTGGTGGCGATCCTCAACTTAAGTTTGTGCTGCAGTGGTTGGCCTGCAGCCTCGCTGGCTGCCGCATGCAGTACTTCGCGTGGGGTCTGCAGCAGCTGCTGCAGCAGAATCTGCTGCAGCAGACAGTAGCAGCAATTCTACACAGGGCCCACTGGGGCTGCGCTGAACTTTGGAATGTGCTTATTGAGGTGGGTCAGCATGCCGCTGCTGCTGCTGCTGCTCTTGCTGCTGCTGCTGCTTTCCTCGTGGGGTTGCAATTAGACAGCAAGGGACTTGGTTTGTACAGAGACAAATGAATAGGTGTTTCCGTCTCCTGCCACAGGCAGCTAGGGGGCGTGTGGGGTGGCCTGTGTTTGCTCAGGGATCGCTGGGATCGTCTCCTCCCCTCCGGGAGATGGGAGTCTTCAACTATCTCCTGCGCCGCGCTTCGGAGGCCTCGCAGCCATCGCCCATACAGCTGCAGGCCAACCAGGACGCTAGCAACAGCTACAGCAGCAGCAGCAGCAGCAACAGCAGCAGCAGCAACAACAGCAGCAACAACAGCGGCAGCGGGAAGAGGTGGGAGGAGCAGCAGCTACCCCAAACCGCCAAACGACTTAAAACAGAGAACAACTCAAACTAAAAAATGCATATTGTGCTTTAAGCCTCAACATGCCCCATATATATAAGATCGGAAGAGCG